AATAGTTTTCAGATAAAATATATATAAAGGAAGTAACTGCCTTTAAAAATATTAATTTTTATATACCTAAGCAAAAAATTATAAGCCTATTAAGGCTTATAATTTTTTGCTTAGGTATATGTTAGATATGTAATACCGCCAAACTTTGGCAGATCATATTTGCCTCCAGTGGCTGTTTAAAGGATAAGTATTATATAATATCATCAGTTCTATACCAGGTAACTTTACCAGGAATAAACGTCGATGGTTCTAAGGGACAAAGCTGTCGATTTGTTGGGGTTGTAATTACATTGTTAGCATTTGGTGGGGCCAATATTAGTAAAATCTCTCTCTGACCAAGCGTTTAGATAGGTATCTATAACCTGTGTAAAACAGTTGACCGTCTGTCTATTTATTTTAGTCCACTAAACAAATAATAACGCTTAGTCTATTCCATCTGCGCCAGATGTAATACGCAGATTTCTTTTACAGTTTGTTCGGTTGGAGAATAAAATTTAGTTTAGATAATTTAATATTCTTAACCTAATAAACAATGCCAGATTACAATATAGTATATAACTACAGCAGACCCGGCCACGCGTTGCTGTGGCTAAGGTTAAATAATATTGGGACTATAAATTGTGATGTAAGCTATCCTATCTTTCAAGTTGGAGCAAATTGCACACAATGTGCAAATCAAATTTGCAATCGGTTCTTTAGTTTAAGAGTTCATCGCGGACAAACAATTTTTATATACTTATAAAGATTTGATTTTGTTTATAGAATTTTAAGAGAAATAGAAAACCAGGTGTTTCTTAACTATTCAAGAAAAATGGACGGAAAATAAAGTTTTCTTTGTATAATTTATGGTTTTAATATCGTCTTAAATTATTTGTGGAATAGGAACATCTATTTAAAAATTATTTTCTTATAATCCAAGCACGTAGGCGTTAGGTATAGTTAGAGTATTTCTTTATTGAATCTCAATACTTCACTGTATAATTATGTAATAATATATTCGATTATACTTGCCAAAATATTAGTTTTCTATAGTATTTGCTATAATAAAAAAAGGAAACAGGAATTAATTAAAAAGGAAAAGGCTTATGACTTACAGACAATGATTTGTAAATTCTACAGTTAATTTATTAATTTCAATAGTTTACAATATTCAATACAATTTCAATATATTTTGTCATGTTGGTTGTGATGTTTATAGATAGGTATATATTCTATCATATAGGGGCATAATGCACTTTGTGATGGCGTTGGTATTTATGTTTATAGACAAGGATTTTTTTTTTATTGATGATAATGAAATGGTGCACCCGCCTGCGCTAACGGTTTACGCTGGCGGGGCACCAGTGGAAGATGATATTATGACCATGAGGTCAGGTCAGTTAGCCCATCGTGACATATTCACCAAGAATTTATCACGATGGTTTCCAGGGGGAACCGCGTGGAGGTCCACCTGACATGGTACATTGCTAGCAATAAGACCACATTACTAACAATCCCCTTTCCCCACGATATATAGACAAGGATTACTCTTACCTACCTATCACCTATCATATAGCCTTTAGCTTGTTATACCAGTGATATAAAAAGGTTTCTAAGTAGGTATAGGCATAAAGTATATGCATATCTAAAAAATTTTAAGTGGATCCTAATTAGTTAATTCTTTCCATTTTATCGCCATGAGAGATATCTATCATGCTAAGTGCATGCGATTAAAGATTATTTCAATTAAATTTACCTATTCAATCAGTTTGTTAAGATACTGCACTATTCATTTAATATATTGATACCCCAAATTTGTCAATAGGTACAACTTTAAAAGTAATAGGTATGTAGATTTCATAAGCCTGTTCAAAGAGTTTTTATTCCACTTTGGAATATAATATATAGTTTAAATAAATATTAGATAAATTGTTAATGAGGATGTATCTGTAAAAGAGATCTTTTCCACAGGAAGTGCAAATAGGACTTGTTGTGAAAAGACAAAAATAAAACAACTATTAAAAAATTAAACAAACAAAAGCATTAATGTCCAAAACAGTGCCTATATAAAACATATGTAAGTATATCTCAAGATTACAGGAATACATGTTACAATGAAATTCCTAATAGGTATGTCCTGAATACATTTTTCGCACAATTTATTACGTTGGCTGTAAGACAGTGCGTACTCTTACAACGTAGTCATTCTTTGCTTCGTGGATTTGATATTAAACATTTGACATGATTTAAAGACTTAATTCACCATTGTTTGAATTTCAAACTATAGTCGCCTTTATAATAGTCCAATAACGTTGACCTGAACACAATAAACTTTCTTTAATGAAATAAAGTAAAAAGTATGTATGTTTTTTATACTTATCTTAATCTATCTTTTCATTGACAGTAGCCATTAACAAAGTTAATATACCTATTGTAAAGGCTATGGTAATGTATTAAATAAAAATTTTAATGATTTGTAAGCTCAAATACTTACAAATCATTAAAATTTTTACGACAATTGCAAAGTAAAATAAATTGAGCAATTTAGGTCCATTGGATCGTTTGTTAATTATAGGTATACTTAAAACACATACTTAGGTCTACATTTTAGATGCTTACATTAACTTTCTTAAAAGCTATTCATTAATAGGTAGGTAGGTTAATAGGCAGCTATATGTATATCTAATTACTGAGGCATTTATTAGAAACTCGTGTGTACTAAACAAAGAGTAACTGTGCAATTAGTTAAATATCTAGCTCATATATTTTCATTACTCATTTAATTTCCATATCATTATGGATAGGTAGATATCTACTCATGTAAGTACAGTCTGCTTACTTGTAAACTTCGAATGGTTGAAAACATAGATATGAGGGATTTCTTCTTTAAAAATCGTAATAGTTATCCTTATGCATTAAGTTTTAGATAGTAAGTAGATATTATTACTTAGTATACAAAGACTTTATATGCTCTTTAAAAAAGAAGTGAAGTGAAATAGGCCTTGTTGTATATATTAATATAAAATACACCTCTGTCACTCAGAAATAAAGTAGATAACTGTCAAACTGAAATAAATTTCAAATTACGGCAATGATTCCGGTGTTAGGTTCTTCATAAAAATCCACTTTCTCTTCTTTTCTTATACTAGTACTACAGGTAGATTATAGATTCTCGATCTGAATTAATAGATTTGACATATCATAGAATTAACTTGCCTTAATGATTGATTAGAAAAAGTCAATAGGTCTTTTATGGAAATAGGTATAAAAATTTACAATAAGATACCAAAGGATATATCTATTGGAATTACTCTTAAATAAATTCAAAACATCTGTTAAATCATATTTACTGAGCAAAGCCTATTACTCACTAAACGATTACTTGAATGACGAGCGTGCATAGCAATAGTTGTTCATGCACGGGATTTTCATTTAATATTAGACATAGAGACCTATACATTGTAAATAAACTGGATTATAAAAAAAAAAAAATTCAATTTAGTTTCTTGTCAGTTCTTCTCAATTTGACCTACATACCAAACTGGACCTTGTCGTTTATAAGCGGCTAAAATGTTCTACATGAATAAATGAATTTTGAATTTGAATTTGGGTATGGACCAACTGAACTAACATACCCAGTCAACCTATTATCGTGCACTGGCCCTAATAGCATTACAAAAGTTTACCATTTTCTATATAAAAATATGAGGTTCAGAGTTATGATTGGTATTTACTATCTATTAGTAATCACACAAAACCCTCTTTATTAGTAATAAGTTGAAGTAGAGTCTTGGTTACTACCCCTAAGCAATTTACCGTAGGTATGGCTTTGTGATGATACAAAGTTCTACTCATTATCGTAGGTATAGGTAGGTACTATTCATTACACACTGGTCGGAGTGAATGAAGGAGAGTGAGAATTCGTTAGTGAGGTCTCTAAATATCTAACACAAGTTCTTATGAACGTTATGGTCACTTAGGATAAGCCAAGCTATACGTAGTGCCTTGCATTGTATAAAAAATCATTCTATCTTTACCTAATAGAAACAGTCAAATAATTCCAGTAACTTTGTAAAACATAGGTAGTAGAGCAGTCTCTACATACTGTATCTTACATATTTTCCTGTATATACTTTTCCTCTACACAAATAAATAATATTATGCAGTGCAGTTATAAGATAATAGCTGCACTACATAGGTAATAGGTATCCATAATATCTAAATAGGAACCATAATATAGGTAAATGACTTGATGGGAAATAACTAATAAATATTAAAACTTTCAACTTGGGTAAAGTAAAGTTTGTAAACAATGCACACATTACCTAACCTACCTACATAGTGGGTCTTCTCAATTTAACATATCTCATTATGGAACATGTCTATTCCAATTACGTAACGGCGATGATGTAATGACAAACAATTTAATCTAGAATGTGATTAGGTACTGTACTGAGTCAGCTTTCACTGTCGCTAAATAAAGCACAATAATAGAACTGCCATATGTAAGTAGATCTATCTAAGTAAGTCTTAATATAAATTAGTAGATATAGTAACGAAAACAAATTACCAAGAGCACAAAGCAATACCACGTAGAGTGCGCTGCACAAAGACTTGCCTACAAAACGTAATTACGAGAGCTATTCGCTCACCTAATAGCTTCACTAGGGGACGCTGTGTCACCAAAAATTTGCATCGCGTTACCCAACAAAACTCAATTTCGAAACGGCACAAACTTTACGATATTTGCTGAGGAACAGTTCCAAGAGCCTTTAATAGTCAGTTGAAAAGGAACTATGTCAAAGCAAATATTAGCATGGTTGTACGGATTTGCGATCATTGTCGATCGATTCTGAAGGCAGTGCCCAGTAAGCTCCGCCTCTCAAGAGGCGTGTGCTGCTGCTTCGGGAGCCGATACAGGCGCCACACGGAGCGGCTCTTTTGATCTCCTTCCCCCCCTCCGTAACGCAAGCGCAAACCCCGATAACAAACGCACACAAACTCATAACGCTCCGCGCGCTCTCGCCAGCCGGTTGTCAGTTGTGTCAAGAACCGGTTTGCCAGTGATACCAAAGTGCTGAGTACAGTGCCCGAGTGTTTAGTTTGAATGGATTGTTGTATTGAGGAAATGGAAGATAAGCCGTACAGTGTGGACAGTTCGGACGATATAAATATTGAGGAAGAGGAGGAACATATTGAGGAAAATCACAGTAAGTTATAATAATAAATACATTAAGAAATTGTAGAATCTTTAAGTTTAATATCGACTTCATGTTTATGTTTGTAAACAACCGACACTTAATAATTATTTGTTCTTTGAATAACTAAAGTAATATATAGATATATATTAGTTTTAAACAGTTTAAATAATAATAATAACTGAATTTTGAATAATTATAAAAACTAAACTGATTCAGAATATATTTTCTATGATAAATGTTTAAATGTTGCAGCCGTTGTTAGTAATAGTGAAATAAATGTTATAACTATCTATTAAGTAGATACCTAATTCAAATTCAATGTATTTACAATATAGTCTAAATTTAATTATTTTTCTTCACAGGCTACCCTCCAGATTTTCCAATCGAGGCTTTGGTGAAGCTTGAACGACCATCACCACCTTTGCCGACACCACCGCATACACCTACAGACGACACGCCTCCCGCCGTTGTCATTTCCCGACACCAACCAGCGTGGACGGCCCCACAACCCCAACCCTACCCTACTTACCCAAGACCTGTAATGCAGACACCGTATAATTACGAAAAAGTGCCAGTACCAAACTACGCACACCCAGCGATGACAGCCTACGTGCAAGCTCAAGTAGCCACATTACCACCCTCGACACCATACCACGCTATGTTGGTGAACCAGTGGATTCGCAATGCAGCATTATATCAACATTCATTGAGATACCCAGGAGTTATGTCACAGAGAATGCCCGGCAGAAACCCACCGCCCATGAGAGCCCCGGGAGTTCCTGGTACAAGGCCCAAGAAACAATTTATTTGCAAGTATTGCAATCGCCAATTTACAAAGTCTTATAATCTTCTGATCCATGAAAGAACACATACGGATGAAAGGCCATATTCCTGCGATATCTGTGGCAAGGCCTTTAGAAGACAAGATCATCTGAGAGATCATAGGTATGTACCATATTAATATCTAAACATTGTTCTTAGTTCTAAACGCTGAAGAAATAAGTAATGCAAATAACTTAAAATGATAATAAATTACTGTTCACCATTTACTTTAATTTAATGTTACCACTCTAATAACAACAACGTGATTTAGAATATGGTTTATCGAGACTTTGTTGACGATAAGAGATTAAGAAAAAAAATTTAAAGTGTAAACCTTTTTGTGAGGTCGCGAGGCGGCGGCCGCACGCGCTCTCCAACCGGTTCGATTCTTTACGATCACCATATCTGTCTTGCTCCGCCGGCGAACAAATTACATGTTATATTTCTTCGCTTTTACGAGACAAACCTTTTTTTCTTCTCACGTATCCAGTATATTATAATATTAACCTTAATGTAAAATTACTTCGATTTTCATTCCAACGTTATTATTTAACTTTACTGTATTAGAATGTAGATAAATAGATGTTTAAATAGTTATTTACATATAGCTCAGACAACAGACTGTTTCTCGTGTTTAAAAGTGAGTTTGTGTTTACGATTATTTTCTATCTTTTCCAGGTATATACATTCAAAGGAGAAGCCATTTAAATGTACTGAATGCGGCAAGGGATTTTGCCAATCGAGAACATTAGCCGTACACAAAATTCTACACATGGAAGAATCGCCCCATAAATGTCCAGTCTGTAACAAAAGTTTCAACCAAAGATCAAACTTAAAGACACATTTGCTAACACACAGTGATGTAAGCAAGCATCATTTAGATCATCTTGAAGGATGTCAAGAAGTTTCTTCAACGAGTCAAGTTACAGAAAACTCTTTATTAGATCTTTCACATAAACCTTCTCCGCCACCTGTTTCACAACAACACCAGCCTCTTATAAGCCCTCATCATTCACCCGTAGAAGCACCTAAGAGAAGCCTAGGATTTTCCATAGAAGACATTATGAAACGATAATTTTAAGTATTATATTGTGGTATGGGGAAACTAGTTTGAGCTAAAGAGGCTTAGCCAATTCATTAGCATGTAAATACGGACATAGGTATATTGTTAAAGTTTGACCTTATTATTCAAACCTATCTAATTTCTTCAGTCTAGTGGATTGGTAAACGTATTGTAGTCATTCATTTAATGTAATAGTATTTATAATTTGCCAAAGAAGTATCTCATCGACTGATTAGATTTTTAATTCTTTTCTACTTTCATTCTACTTATAGCTTTACGAATTAGTCTCAGTACTTGCTTCTTTTTCATTAACATTTCATTTTAGAAATTGAATATAATTTGTGCGATCGTTCATTTCATATTATAAAGACTGAAATTATTGTTTTAAGTATTGTTATGTTTTTCTAGAGATTTATTTATTGTGATAGTTTTATAATTAGGGCTAAGTTGTCGTTAACTAAAGTTACCGAAAAGTATTACCTTTGTTTTAAGCGAATTCGATCCAAATTCTGTGGCTATGACAACAATCAGATCATGTTCAAATTAATATACTTAGATGTACTTATTTAAATTTAAATAGCACAATAATTGATGTCGTTAATTGTAATATCTATGTACATATTTGTAAATATATTTATAAGTCATTATTCGCTATTAGGTCAAGAGGCTACTTATAAACTATCTTTATTGAAAATTACAAACCTAAATATCAAAATACTTGTTTTATTACCCAACAATAAATTAAAAAATGTATCAATCACAATATAGTATAGATACTTACATATTCATATTATAATTGAATTTAAATTATAGATTGAAATTAAAACCAGGATGTGGTGTAAATTACAATCTTTGGTCCTTTACCAGATATAAATTATTACGAGTATTAAGAAAAATAATTTATATTATTCGTGGGACAAGATTTACAGAAATCATTTATGTACCTATTTAATAAAGAAATTAAATTTTTAATATTAAAGTTTTCAAATTAAGAAAAACATCTAGAAACTAATCAATTAAACGAATATAAAGGCTTTATTTCTATTATTATTCATTCTATACAGTAGAATTAATTAATTAAACATTTTATGAATGCAGACTATAGTTATCTTATTAATAATATAGACGCGACAGGTTGTTAGGATGGATGGATGTACCTATGTTTGTCATTCCTTCACACAAAAATTAGTGAACGGATTTTGATTAAACTTTAATAGGTATATGTAACATATGCATCAGAATAAATAACGTATAGGCCATAAATTTTACGCGGGTGTAACCGATCACAGCTAGTTAACTATAAATTTCATCCAGATAAAACCGCGGGCAGAGTTTATTATAATTCAACTGCTATAAGTAAATTGAAATACATGCCAAAACTGAATTACTTTTATTCGGTAACATAGCTTTACAAATTAAATGTAATATCGCACGCTACACTAACAGTTACGTTGGCGTGTCCAGTCGGCCATTAGAGAGGGCGATTTGACCATATACGGCACCACAATCATAGTTCATGCAATGCTAACAATCATACCAATGTAGCGTATGAAATTAATTATAATTATAGGTTTTGATATTAGTAATTTTGTAGACGGTACAAACTTGTTTCTGGGTTGTGAAAAGATGGTTATGGAGATAAGCGCTATTAGCCTAGTTAACATTATTATTCGGATACCTGTTTATGTTTCTGTTTGATTGCAGCTAACTACCTACATAGGTAAAGAATATTTATAGTGAGGTGTTCCCATTACCTATTATACTTTAAAAAAATCTTATATTCGTTTTTATTTTCATATTTTATAAATAATTAATATTTAAAAAATAATATTAATAATCTATTAATTAACGAAATAATGGACATATAGATGTTTATCACATTTGTTTGTAAAATAATCGATGTGAATATATAATGAGATAGTGCGTGTTAAACAGATTTATCAACAGTAACGCCATCTAGAAGCAGGTCCTCGAACTACAATATGTCGCTTGTGTCAACGCGATGTCGCTACTGGTATTAAGTAATTGAAGTAAAAAAGTAAATTTCTCCACACTAATATTATAAATCCAATATGTGTATCTATTTCTCAGTTTGTTATCCAGCCAAGACTAAACGGCTGACTAAACAGATCACGATGAAATTTGTCAGGAAGATAGATTGTATAATGATCCGTGATTTCATTAAGATGCGTTTAGCCGGTTAGTCGTGAAAAATAAGAAATAGACAGACATACTTTTGAATTTGTATGAATTAATTAATTAAAATAAATAAAATATGTAATACATAATAAATAACACATAGGCACTGTAAGTTGCGTATTATAGTAAAGTTATAAGTATTTACATTGGTAACAGTAAGGGATAATGGGTCATTATTCAATTATATGTCTGAGTTAGTATTATAATCACATATCACTATTTATAATTTAATATACGTATTAAACAGACGTAGAGCATAAAAGTCTTCTGGGTACCGAAGTCTCTCCTAAGTGTTTCAATGAAACAGCTTGCTTTGTAAGTTGTTGTTGAGTCAAATTAGCCAGTGAAATTACAGAATAAAAAATATGACATCTGAGTTCTCTGGAGTATCACGGGCATCACATAATAACGTGATGTCGTAGTGTTATTCATGTATATATCTAGATACTTGCCATCAGGTGGGTCATCAAATTGTTTTATTCATAACCCTGGATATAACCATGCCATTCGAAAGTTATGAAAATTCATAAAAGAAAAAATATACCTACCTTCTATCTACCTTATTTTGATGAAATGGTACCGTTGACCCTAAAAGAAAAGATGGTGAGGTCGCAATAAAAGATAAAAGTGTGATGAAATTTGGTCCCTTAGTTCATCGTTGTAGATTCCCTAGGGATCAACCACGATGGTTTCCAGTGGTTTCCATCCTCCGTGGCATATACCATTGTAATCCATTAAAAAAACTCATAATTATTAGACGGTCTTTATTGGACGGCCTCATTTCCAATTTTGAATTTTAATAGAAATAAAATACATTTAATTTTCTACCACATGGTTGTTAATTGTTTTATTTTTCCGTATCGCTGAATCTTCCACTGTTTTAGAAGATTGTTGTGATTTCTCACAGACCATTTAAAGTAGATTACATTAGAAAAACAAAAATCACAAACGTTTTGGACGAATCCAAATTAAGTCTGTTACTGATTGATGATTGAAGTTTAACTTTTGTGTAAGCAATTTCGCAGTCAATGTAAATTGCAACAAATTCATACTGATTGTGCCCTAATCGCTGAAATCGGCGAATTCCCATGACTATTTCGAATATATCCAATCCAATAATCGCCTCAACTCTATATCTTCCTTTTACCCCAATTAAAATAAATCGTTGAAGATTAAAATGGTATTTTGAGCCGCAGCGGTAATATTTCAAGTGATTTTCACTGTCGGAGAGACGCAATGACGTATAGATTGATCTTTACTTGATTTATGGCAATTTATTGATTTATAGTTAATTCAAGCCATTCTATTCAATAAGTTACTGATTCATTAATCATTAGTTACCTACCGGTAGTTCTAGCTTTAATTGACCAATCGAGATTATGTAAAGATTTTTGTTTCAATAATTTAAATCACGAATGGTATGTTACTATTTAATAGACAATTTTATTATTAGAAGTAGTTACTTAGTCTGTAGGTAATATAGCAAATATATTATTGTATGAATTAATTAAAAAATATATAAATAAATTATCATCATCGTCATAAGAATTATTGTTCTATTATGGTTATTAATTGAGCATTCTAATATGAAACTGGCCCGACCGACTGCTGGATATTTTTATTTATTTGCTAAAGAAAAATAGAACATAAAATATTTAAAAGTATGATTATGATGTATTTTTCATTGTAATGGCATTCATAGATGACTTACAAAGGTTAATCGACTTGTCGTCCCTTTCTAACAACTTTATAAAAATTGCACTCCTGTGAGATTAGCAAACTATAGACATTCTAAAACATATGTTGTTTTAATTACCTAATAATTTTATTTTTTTTCCTTATTTCATCAGATACAGAAAAGTATCATACATACAATAATAATGGGTTGTATGGTTATGTAAAAAGAACTGTTTCATCTTACTGTAGTAATATAGGCCGAGTAGTAAATCTGCATTAAATATTCAGAAAATTTTATATTCATATTTCTTAGGAGTAACTTCTCTATATAGATATTCTTTGGTTAGGTATTATATTACAGACCTTACATGTTAAGATTCGTGCAACTTAGAGATATAATATCTAAGAGAACATATCAAAGTTTTTGTGCGTAGAACAATGAGGCATCTAATGAAGATTGCATTCGCCCTCAAGCCAACCACAACGTAACGACCATCTGAAGTAGCACAAATGAAACTTTTGGGGCATTATATAGAGATTTATAACAACTTTAGATGATATAATTGTGTTCTATACTGATTATTTCTGACTGTGATTTATGTTATGGCTCCAAGCGTTTTGGTATGTTTTGAAATCCTTTTGTTTTTTGATGCTTGATTTATTGTTCCATAAAATTTTTATTCCTGTGCTGTTAGTCTAGTATTATTCGAAATATTGTAACAAAGGGTAGCAGCTATTAAACTCCAAAGTGTTGTCGTAAACATAAACTTAATTACGTTTGATTCCATTAATTTTACGTTGACTTTAATTTTATCAAAGCCAATTTAACACATATTAAAGTTAGTATTTTTTAAGTTCAATTTTAACAACGTTCACAGGTTCCGTGATCTATCGGTTTAGCACACCGCTTTACTTCCGATTGTCGCGGGTTCGGCTCCTCGCACGATTCATACATTTATATTCATGGATTTATTCATTATTTGTATTAGTCGTAGTGTACTCTATGTATACTATATATGTATGTAGGTATGTGTATTTAAATATTTCTATCAACTGCTTAGTATTCATTATGGCTACAAATTCTGCTTAATTTCGGAATAGATTATGTTGTGTGAATTGTGCAAGGATATTATTATTAAAGTTTTAATATGGTAAATATACATATGTATGACTTACATAATTTCTTTTAACAAAACCTTCCTGTGAAAACACTTGTCTTGTATTTATCAGTATGATTGTTTGTAGCGGCCCGAGTGTCTTCTCTGCATATTATGTATGTATTGACAAAAAAGAATATATGTAAGAATTTGTATCACTTGTCTAGTATCCATAACAAAAGTTCTGATTAGCTTAATAACTAATCTAGTTATCAAGCTAATCAGAACTTTTGTTATGTGCAGATTTTGTATTGTGCAGGGTTATTATTATTATTATTATGATAGTATAAAGATAGACTGAGAAGTAAGATTCTTACTAATAATTTCTAATTGACAATTTATTAGGAAGCATATTTCTTAGTATATCTACGTACTATATCTAAGAGATTTATAATTTTGTCCTAGAGCTAAGGGTTTTTATAACGACGGTGTACTAAGTAGACATAGTAAGCAAATACAAGTATCTAGGTTAACAATTACTTAATTAGGATAAACTTAAAATAAAATGATATAATATAATGATGGTTAGTTAAAAATTAAACAACGAAAAGTCAAATATTGAAACACATCCTACACCCTGCACGCGCCACCTGGCGGGAAACTCACGCAATATTGATTGACAGCTGTCA